CCCTATAGTACCGCTGCCTCCACTTGCCCTCCTCGGACTCCTCCCCTCGCGCAGGCCTCTGGGGCCCGTGAGCGGCGCCCGCGCGCGTGCGGCGGTCGCTCCAGCAGGGAAGGCGGCGCTGCGGCGTCAGGCGCCCATGCCGTCCGTCTCGAGCAGCTCCACCAGGACCCTCGCGACGGGGTGGCGGCGCACCTCGGCGCGGGGGTCCTCGACCTTGGCCCGCAGCAGCGCCTCCAGCTCGCGGCGCAGCCTCTCGACCAGGGCCGCCACCGCCGAGGAGCCCGCGCGCGCCCTCACCCAGCCGTCGAGGGCCAGCGTCCCCGCCCGGTGGTCCGCGGTGAGGCGCCCGCCGAACAGCAGCAGCGCGAAGATGGAGCACTCCGAGGCCACCGAGAGCACGAGCTTCGTCGGGTGCAGCTCGCTGCGCTGCTGCTGCACCTGCTTCGCCGAGAAGACCACGTACGGCACGCCGAAGCTGGACTCGAGGAAGAGGCCGGAGCTGGGGTGCAGGAAGGCCCGCGTGCGCAGCGTAGAGACGCCGCCCTCCGACCCCGTGCGTGCGCCTGCGCTGGCCTCCTGCACGAAGTAGCGCAAGTCCTTGGCCTTGTCCGCGGCCTGCGTCGTGCCGGAGAGCCCAGCGACGTAAGTCGGGGCCGGGCGCTCGATCCTCGCCACCATGGGGTAGAAGGCCGCGCAGGTGGCGGCGCGGAGCAGCCGCCACGGCGAGCCCAACGCGGGTGCGCCGCTGAGCCCCGCGATGCCCTCGCCGGGGCGGCAGAAGCCGAGGGCGGAGAGCTCGCCGAGGAGCTGGCCAGAGACCGAAGCCGCTTCCTGCATGCGCTCGGAGGAGAGGCCGTACCGGGCGCAAAGCTCGCGCCTCTGCGAGTACCCGCCGGCGTCCGCGTGGGCCGCCGCAAGCTGCGCCAGCATGCAGTGGTCTGAGCGGCCGCCGCCGGGCCGCAGGCCACTCCGCAGCTCCTTCCGCCGGCGGTCGCTGTCCTCGTCGCCCCGCAGCAGCGGCGAGCGGACCGAGAGCACGCCCGCCAGCGCCGCCGCGTGGCGGTGGCAGCCAAGCACGGCGCCGAGGATCAGGAGCTTGCCGATGCGAACGTCGCACGGCAGCCGCGCGAGGTGCTGCCCCAGCGCCTTCACGGCCCCGCCCTCGTCAAGCGCGATCGCCCCGAGGGAGTCCAGGGCCTGCTCCGCGACGACGACCGACTCTGGCTTCGGCGGCGTGGGCGCCTGCGAGAGGAACGCGCGGGGCTCGAAGCCCATGTGCCGCACCGTCAGCACAAGGGACTCCAGGGGCAGCGACTCGATCTCCGGCGGTGTGGCACGCGGCAGCTGATCGTAGGCTTTCTTCTTGACGAGTCTGAAGCAGACGCCAGCCTGCACGCGGCCCGCGCGGCCCATGCGCTGGCGGAGAGCGTCCTGCGCGCAGAGCTGCTCGGCCAAGCAGGGCGTGAAGCTGCCCGCCTCTAGCCGCAAGCGCCGCTCGCGGCATGTGTCCACCACAGCCGTCACGTCTGGTATCGTGATGGAGGTCTCGGCAACGTTTGTGGCGCAGACGACCTTCCTGGGCCCGCCAGGCGGCAGCACCTCGAAGCACGCGCGCTGCCGCTCCGTGGTCAGGCCGCCGTGCAGCGGCAGCGGCCGCAGCAGCGCCGGCGCGCCGCCGGACGCGCCGCCGGCTCGCTCCAGCTCGCCCACGAGCCGCGCGATCTCGCCAGCCCCAGGCAGGAACACGAGCACGGCCCCCTGCGCTGGGAACGGCGCGGAGCCCCGAGGCGCCTCCAGGCGCCCGCGCGCCAGGGCCACGACGAGGCGGGCGATGAGGCCGAAGTCAAGCGGGCCCAGCCGCCCGGCCGCATGGTCCACCGCGTCCCTCTTCTCGCCCCTCTCCGGCCCCTCCTCCTCGCCCAGCATCCTGGCCACCTCGTCGAGGTAGAAGTCCTGCACCGGGAAGGTCCTCCCAGGGATGGAGATGGAAGGCGCCCCGGGAAACATCCGCGTCAGGGCCGACAGGTCCATCGTGGCCGACATGAGCACGACCCGCAGCTGCGGGAACTCGGGCATTCGGAGCCGCAGCAGCGTCAGCAGGAGGTCCACCTCGCTGGAGCGCTCGTGCACCTCGTCCACGACGAGGTGCGTGCAGACGTCTGGGCCGAGGAGCCCCGCGCCCGCAGAGCGGTCGCCGAGCGTGAGCCTCCGCAAGAGCACGCCGAGCGTGCAGAAGAGCAGCTGGCACTTCTGGCCGCTCATCTTCGACTCGCCCCGCACCTTGAAGCCGACAGCCCCCTCTCCCAGCCGCTCCCCGCGCTCGTCGGCGACGCGCTGCGCCACGGAGGCGGCGGCCACCCTGCGCGGCTGCGTGACGACCACGCGGGCGCCCGGCACGGCCTCGACGAGGAACTGGCCGACCTGCGTGGTCTTGCCGCAGCCCGTCTCGCCCTGGACCATGACCAAGCGGCAGAAATCCCCGCCGCCAGCGCCCTCCCCCCCGCGCTGGCCGCCCCGGCCCCGGCCCCCGCGGCCGCCGCCGCCGCCCAGCTGCTCCGCGGCCGGCGCGCCGAGCAGTGCCAGCAGCTCCTTCCGGCTCCTCGCCGCAGGGAGGTCCTCGCGGACCTTCTGCATGGCCCTGCCGAGGAGAACGCTTCTCGAGCTGGGAGGAAAGGGGTCAGGTTGGTTGAAGGGCATGAGCAGTAGCATCCGGATGCCATGAACGATACCTTCGGCCGCCCACGGGTAAGGCTACCCTGACCTTCCAGAGAGCTATTTTTTAGCACTGGAGACCTAAAAACCTAAAAAGCTGAGCGAAACTGCCTAAAACCAAGACGTAGAATAGCTCTGGGATAGGTTTTTAGGTCGCGTGCTATTTTTTAGCCCTCCTGGAAGGTCAGGGTATCTCTCCCGACCCCATCCTCCCAACCCGATCATTGTCTTCCGGGCCTGCCCGCGGCGGAGGCCAACCACTCTGCGTGCCTCTGCGCGCTCTCCCTCGCCGCGGGGGCCTCGGCGCCTGCCGGGCCGAACCAGGGCCCACCGCCGCGGCTGCCGCCCCTTCCGCCCGAGCGGCCGCTGGCCTTGCCTGCGGCGCCCCTGCCGGGCGCCGCCGGCCCCTCGTCGTCGGCGCAGGCCAGGCCGGCGCCCTCCCCGAAGGCCGGCTCGTCCTCCACGGCCTCGTCCGCCACGGGCGCGGCGCCGGCAGCCTCCGCGGCGCAGGCCTGCGCGGCCCGGGTGGGCGCCCCGGCGGGCGGGAGCCTCGCTCGGCTCGCGAGGAGGTCCGCCCACGCGCCCCGGATCGCGGCGCAGGCGCCGCTGGCGCCCTCCGCCTCGAGCACCTCGGCGAGCGCGCCCTCCTGCGGCTCCGCGCCGGGCTCGTCCTCGGGCGGGAGCAGCAGCTCCACCGTGCACAGGAGCGCCTCGGCCGCCCCGGAGTCCCCCCCGAGGGCGCCCAGGAGGGCGGACCTCGCCTTGCCGAGGAACTCGGCCCTGCGAGGGAGAGGCGGGGGGAGGGGCGAGCGAGGAGGGGGAGGGGAGGGCGGAGGGAGGGATGGTTGTAGCGAGGGGGACGTGCCTCAGGCCGGCGGCGCTCTCTTCCGGGGCCGCGCTGCTGCCGGGGCCCGTGTTCACGCCGATCTGTCCGCTCTTCGCGGAGAAGCCGGCGGGCAGCTCCTCCTCCGGCAGGTTCAGGCAGAGCCAGACCCGCAGGTGCTCCGTCAGCGCCGCGGCGGTCCAGGGGTGGCCGAGGGGGGGCCCCTCCTCGCGGCACGCGGCCACAGCAGCCTCCGCGGCGGCCGATGTGAAGCCCATCTCCACAAGGCGGCCGATCGAGATGGCCTCCTCATCGGTGATGTCCTGCGGCAGGTCGCCGAGGGCCAGCTCCTGCATGTCCAGGGGCAGTCCGAGGGCGGCGCGCAGGCGGTCGCGCATGCGCCTGGAGAGGAGCACCGGCGGGTCCACGTTGGCCATCCGCTTCATCTCCCGCAGCCGCTGTGCCTTCAGAGAGGTCTCTCAAATGCGGTCCGAGTAGCCTGGGCCGGAGGATCGCGCATCGGCGACGCATCGGTGATGCAGTGGCGACGTCGGTGATGCACCGACGACGCTGGCGTGGAGAGCATCGACCTCCACATCGAGCCGTATCGGCAGTGCACTGGCGATGCGGCGCGATCCTCCGACCCATCCGCTCGGATCCCGTCTGGGAGGGAGGCCTGGAGCCTTTGCGATGGCCTGCTGCCTCTCCGCGCGCGCCTGAAGCTCGGCGGCGTGGCCGTGGGTGCCCCGGCCCGCGCCCCTGCCGCCGCGGCCCGAGGGTGCAGCGCCGCCGCCGCCCGCGCCGGGGCAGCCGCCCGGAGGCAGCGCGCCGCCGCCGCGGCCGCAGCCGCCAGGCTTCGGGGCCGCCTTCGGCCCGGCCTTCGCGGCGGCGGCCTTGGCGGCGACCTTCTTCGTGGGCGAGAAAAACATGTCCGTCCCCGCGGCCTCGCGGGCCGGGCCTTGGGCCGCGACCCCGCGGCTACGGGTCCTCCCTTCGCGGGCGCCCCGCGCGGAACGAATCCACGCGGCCGCGCATCCGCGGGATCGAGCCCTCGAGCCTAGAGCGCGAAAACGCGGTTACGGACGTGTTCCGTGCTCGTGAAACCTTCGCCGCCGGCTTGGCCGTGCAGGCCTCGTCATACTTGTCGTAGTCCCCGTACGCGGCGTCGTCGAAGGCGTCCCAGCACCAGTCGCAGTAGAAGCTGGACCCGGCCTTGTCCTTGCGCCCCTGCGAGACGGCGACGCTCTCGCCGCAGCCGTCGCAGGCCACCATGGCGGGCGCGGGCGCCCCAGCTGGGCTGGGCCAGTGCGGCTTGCGAGGGCCCGCGCATGCTCCGACCGCCGCCTCGGGCGACGGATCTCACGAGCTGCAACGTGCGAACAGCACGCATGCCCGTCGCATCCCGGGGCCGGGGAGCGGCCGCTGGCACCGCTGCGGGACACACCGCCGGCTCGACAGCCGGCCGGCCGGCCGGCCGGGCCCGGGGCAGAGGGGGGAAGCCAGAGGCGGTGGCGGGAGCGGGGGAGGGCGGGGGCGGGAAGCGGGGGGCGGGAGGCGGGGGGCGGGGGGCGGGGGGCGGCGGGCAGGGAGCGGCGGGGGAGGGGGGAGTGTATCCTTGCACGCGGACCTCGCTGCGCCGCGCCCTCTGCTCACCCAGACGCCCCTCTCTCTGCTGGTGCTGTGGTTCGGGGGCGCCCTTGGATCCCAGTGAGGCCCCCGGGCCCCGCCGTTTCGGCGACCAGCGTGCCGCAGCACGCTGCTGCATTTCTCAGCCCATCAGGGGCTAGCGAGGATATCGTGGTATCGGTTTCGGACCCTGGCGAGCTGAGATGAGAAGGGATACTATCTAGATAAACCACTTCACTTCGGGAATTGCTATGACGAGGCCGCCGCCGTCTCCGAGACAATCAAGTTGGTAGCGGAGCTGGTCTGGCTCCACGGACCAGCTCGTCATGACGACAAGGGACTGAAAACACGAGACCGTTCCGGGGATCTTCTGACCCGGGTCAATCCAGACCCGGGTCAGTGAGGCCTTGCAAGATCCTGCAAGATCCTGCACCTAAACCCAGGTCAGTGCGAAGGATCCTGCAAGATCCTGCGGGATCCTGCACCCAAACTCGGGTCAGTGCGCCCCTGGCCCTGCAGGATCCTGCAAGATCTGGCGCCCTGGCTGACCCCCGTTTGTATTGACCCCCGTCTCAAGCCTCCCGAATCATCATGGGACGGCGACGAGGCCGGTTTCGATTCCTACACTATGAGGGTGAAGCTCTACGTGCGCGGCACCAAGAAGGACGAGAAGGGTCTCTGCGGCCCTAGGCTGATGACGAATCCCCCTGGGCGCGCATGGCAAGGTGTTCAGAAGTATGACGAACTGGACACTCTCGACGACACGGCAGAAGATACCCAGACCAACTTCTTGCCGGTCGGAGTGGCTCAACTACTACACTTTCTCAGGGAGAAGATCGGCATCCTGGAGGTCGAGGATGCAGGGAAATACATGAGGACCTTCATGAAGGAGACCTACTAGAGGAGCAGGACCAGAATGCAAGACTATCTGACGCAATTCGCGGTGGAAGAAGACAACATGCAGAAGGCGATCAAGGCAATCGACAGGAGCTTCGACGACAAGAAGCCACAATCCCCAGAACCTTTGAGAGCGTGGCTCCTCCTCGAGCATGCAGGCTCGGAATATCATGAACGCTCGCAAATGCTGGCCTCAAGTCAGAACAAATGCGGGAACTCTTTCATCCAACAGGCCCTCGGCATGCAATTCGCAAGAACAAATATAGGCCAACGACACGGCCGACCTCAACGACAGAACCGTAACAAGACCTACGCGGCCGAGGGCGAGGAAGAGTACTACGACAACTGCGAAGAGGATAAGTCAGACGGTGATGGATACGGAGACCTACTCCCAGAAGCTGTACCTGCCGAAGCGCTGGCAGCGACCGAGGAAAACGACATCACCTCCCAGCTCCAGGACATCTACGATGAGAGTGGAGAGGATCCAGGAGTACGTCACGAACAACTCGAGGAAGCAGTCTTGCATCAGTTCAGCAAAGCCAGCCCTCATTCAAGCAAGCTCGGGAACTACTCCGTCGCAAGAAGATGGACCGCATTTTTTTCGGAAGCGGCAAGGGCAGCACTCAGCACTGGACAAGGGGTCTGGACGGGATGCTGCTGACGGCCGCGGTCAATCGAACTCAGCTGGCACGCGCCCACCATGAGACAAACAGCGGCACGAGGACCCGAACACCATGTGCCTGAGGTGCGGCGGGCATCATCACACCGCACGAGACTGCAAGTCACCAGCCAAGCTTCAGCATGGTGAGGAGCACACGCATCCATCGTCAACATCTCACCGCCGTGAGTGACCTACAGCGATTAATATACGATCGATAGCGACAAGGGTACGATCTACTGTGACCCAGACACGGTCTACAGCGATCAGGACACGATCTAGTGCGACACAGTTACCACCTACAACGATCAATCTACGATCTACTGTGAACCAAATACGACCTACACCGATCCGCAATCGACTTACACCGACGCACACACACACACGATCTACTGCGACACAGAAGCGATCTAGAAAAACAATTACCCCAACGTCGACCCCAAATGAATGTGGTCATGTCTCCACGCCGCAGTATCTCACCCTGCCCTCACCCATACCATGATATTCGGATGGACGGTGCGCGAAGCCGAGGTACAGCGAGAACGAAACGGACGGGGAGAGAGGCAGAGGAGAGAGAGAGAGAGAGAGAATACGGCGTGGGAGCACGGCAGACCAGCACGGTGGGATTCCATGGGGTCTTTTTGGGGCTCTCTTTGCGTATGGTGGCACTTTCTGAACCCACCCGGCGCCGTCTTGGGCTCTCCAGTGCGCGCCAAGGACGATGCTCCTAGTTGGTTGTCTCGAGGGGTCCGTCGCGGGCCCTTGTGTGTCCGTCGCGAGCGCTTCGGGGGCCGTTTCGGGCCTCGCCGTCTCTTCCCGAGGCATGTTGGGCCTCCTCGACGGCTGTGAAGACCAGAAGGCGAATGCACGAAACATGCTCTTCCCTTCTAGGGAGTGGAACGGTTCTTGCCTCTCGAGGTTTTCTTGGGGGTCCTCTTGGAGCACTCTTGGGGCGCGTTGGGGGCCTCCTATGGGCCGCATTGGTCCCATCTTGGGCGCATCGGAGCAATCTTGGACCGTATTCGAGGGCTCCAGGGCCGCCCAAGAAATTCTTTGGACTGTTTTGGGTCCGGGCACTTCGGTGCCGTGGCCAGGTGATGATCGGAAGGGTTCGCCCGCTCAATTTGAAGGATTTCTAAATCGTGTCTGGAGGGGGGCCGCGAGCGGCTAGAGTGTCCGAAACGGCCCCATATGGCCCCAAGACGCTTCGGGTGATCTAAGGTGGCCGCCCAAATGGTACTAGGTACCCCGAGTCTGCTCAAGATGGCGACCTTTTGTTTCCAAGAAGCTTTGACATCGTTCCAAGACGATGGCAACTGGCCACGGAGCCTCCCCAGGAGGCTTCCGAGAGGCGGAAAAGCTTCTGCTTGTCGGCCAAGGCCTGGGCATAGGCTCTCACAGACCCCCTTGGGGCCCCTTTAAGCCCCCATGCGCCCCCTTGGGGGCCCCATAGGCCCCCACCGGCCCCCTTAGGCCCCCATGAGTTCCATTAGGCTCACATAGGCCCTCTTCGGCCTCCACAAGCCCCCTTGGGCACATTAGGGCCCCCTAAGACCCCCTTGGGGCCCCCAGAAGCCTTCATAGGCACTCGTGGAGCCCCCATCAGGCCCCCATAGGGGCCCTTAGGCCCCCATGGGACCCCCATAGTACCCCATAGGCTACCTTAGAGCTCCCATAGGCCCCTACAGGGCCCACATGAGCTCCCATAGGCCCCCTTGGGGCTTCCATAAGCCCACTCATAGGCCGCCGTATGCCCCCGCCGGCCCTTTAGGCCTCCATTGGCTCCCTTGGGCTTTCATAAGCCCCCTAAGGCCTCCTTAGGCCCCCTTAAGCATATTAGGTGGGGCCTCCATGAGCCCCCCTGGGCCCCCCTATGAACCACCTCGGGGCCCCCATGGGGCCCCCATAAGCACCCTTAGGCCCTCCATATACGCCTCCTTAGGCTCCCATAAAGCGCCCCCCAAGCCCTCATATGCTCCCGCAGGCCTCCTTCTGCTCCCGCAGGCCTCCTTATGCTCATATCAGAGCCCCCTTAGGTTTCTTTAGGCCCCCGTAAGCCCCCTTAGGTTTCTTTAGGCCCCCTTAGGTTTCTTTAGGTTTCTTTAGGCCCCTTTAGGTTTCTTCAGGGCCTCCATCGGCCCCTTTAGGTTTCTTTAGGCCCCCATAAGCCTCCATATGCTCCCTCGGGGCCCCCAAAGCCTTCATAGGCCCCCTTGTGGCCTCCAACAGCACACGTAGGCCCTCGTCGGCTCCCGCAGGCCCCCGCCGCCCCCCTTAGGCCCCCTGAGGCTCCCATAGGCCCCCTTGTCACCCTCACTCTCGTGGGCTCCTGAGAGGTCGCGCGGAGTGGAGCGGTACGGGGACCCAGTTGAGACCTCGCGGCTCCCTAGGGTGGGCTGCGAAGTGTAAAACCATCGCCACTTTCGTGGGCTCCTGAGAGGTCACGAGGACTGGAGTGGTACGGGGATCTAGTCGAGACCTAACGGCTCCCTAAGGGGGGGGCTGCGAAGTGTGAAACTGTCCCCACTTTCGTGGGCTCCTGAGAGGTCGCGCGGAGCGGAATGGTACGGGGACCCAGTTGAGACCTCGCGGCTCCCGAGGGGCGCTGCGAAGTGTGAAACGGTCGCCACTTTCGTGGGCTCCTGAGAGGTCGCGCGGAGTGGAGTGTTATGGGGATCCCGTCGAGACCTCGCGGCTCCCTAGGGGGGGCTGCCAAGTGCGCTATGGGGGAGCTCATGCGCACAGCGTATTCTCTCACATGTGCTTCTGGGAGCTCAAGAGCACTGCGAGTCCTTCAACACATTTGCTTGTAGTGAGCGGTCCTATATATATATATATATATATGTTCGCCATCTGCTTAGAAAGGGCTGGGTACGCCACCAGGCAGTTTCAATTGCAGTTCCCCCTTTCATGCTTGCATCGCTTCGCGAGGCCCGTTCCTGCTTCAATGTAGCTTTGGTCGGAGTTGTGGCCCAATCATTGCCCCCCCTGTAGCTGAAAATGGCACGTTGACCTCTCCGATCCAAGCCCTCTGCTCTCACAACCCTTCCCTCTGCTGGTGTTGTGGTTCGAGGGCGCCCTTGAGTCCCTG